GGAAAATATGGTGGTTTAAATCTACCACAATTAAACCTTCCATGGACGAACAAGCAATAAATTGGGATAAAGGTAGCACACAAATAAAAGAGTTAAAAACAGTACTTAATATTTTTAAGAAAAAAGGCCTACGAGAACAGTGTATACATCTATACTAGCTCTTTCTCAGTCTTTAAAGGCTGGGTGGAGTGGATAACTTTCTGGGAACAGAACAAGTAGGAAATTAATGGGGTGCCAGTTTGGCACAAGAAGAAATGGCAACAAATATTGACAATCGCCAAAGAAAATCCTAACTTTCACATAGGGTAGATTCCCTCCCACCAAACTAACCCGAAAGATGAAGCTAGCAGATGGAACAACTGAGTTGATAAACTTGCTAGAATCAATGTAATGGAAATCCGGACTATGGCTGCAAAAGGAGAAAATCAAGAATGGGAACAATTACTTGAGTGGCTTCAGAGTAGAAGAGGTCATTCAGGAATTTTTGACTTATACAAAGAGGCATAAACTCATGGCTGGCCTGTCACACGTGAACAGTACAAAACAATCATTTCTGAATGTCATCTCTGCAAGATCAGATTGGGGGAACTGTTCTGCCAATGACCAGGCCCAACAAAAATGATACCACCAGCAGGAAGATGAACCAATACACAGACTGTATTGTAGACAAAAAGGACATTCCATGAATGATCGCTGGGGGTACAAAAAGATCAATCAGCTGGTACATAATTGACGCTACCCCCAACAATCTCACAAAGGACGTAACTCAGCCCACAACAGGTAGTACAAACAGAGACCCGAGGTTTCCCACAGTTGGCATGGGAAACAGCCAGACCAGCAAGCTGAACACATAAGAGAAAGGTGACCACATAGTGACTCTCACCCGATCCGCCCGCGTTTGCAAAGGGCTTAAGCAGACTGGGGCGCAGCTGCACGTCTTCCCTGAACCAGGAAGCTCTGTGGAGTTTATTCCACAGAGCAGACACTCCTGACTCCCTGAGAGTGGTCCCAGCTTTTATCCCCAAGCGGGACACCTGACCTTTGTCAACTCAATGCGGGACCCCTGGGGCTCATTTCCCTTATGGCTCTCCCTGCAGGGCCGGCCGCACCCTGGGGGGAATCTATGAGGCAAACTCACCACCTCTTTATGAAGGGCTGTGGGAATCACCCATATGTCAACCTTAATTCAGGGCTTGGGGTTCAGACCCCAGCATTTCAGGGAACATCCCCTAACAACTGATAAATTACATTTCCAATAGAAAAAATACTTTACGGTCCACATGACAGGCGGATTACATCGGTCCCTTCCACAAATCAAGAAACAAACAATATGTCATCGTGATGGTGGAAGTAGTGTCAGGACTAACTTGTGCCAAGGCTGTTCCTAAGACAAATGGGGAAAACACAGTTTGTTTCTTAGAAAAGGTATTTGGGATCCTGCCTAAACCCACAAATATCCAATCTGATAATGGAATTCATTTTACCTCTCAATTGGTACAACAATGGACTAAAAGAGAAGGTAGGAAATGGACGTTTCATGTTCCATACTACCTACAAGCTAATGAGGTGGTGGAACACACTAATGGATTAATTAAAAGTCTTATTCACCCACAGGATTCCAGAGGGGATGAGAGACTGAACTGTGTAGTTACCACCGTAAACAATAAGTGGGGGATAAACAGATGCCCTTGCCTAAACGCCTTTTTTCCCACATCACTTACCCAAGGTAAGGGACAACTCAAAAATCCCTTTGACAAATCCAAGACTTCTCTTTACCCTGGACAAACTGTTTTGGTAAACTTGCCGAATATTGATAAAGTTAAGCTTACCTTACAAACACTGGTGAACTCAAATACATGCTTTGCATCTGGTTTAAATGACAAACAACACAAAACCAATACAAAATGGATAATTTATGTTGAGTAAATATATATATGGGTTTTACTTTCTTTGGATTTGTACTTCTGGATATTTGTGTCTATTGGCGTTGGGGGATATGTTATCAGACTCACAACTCAAAGTGTCAGGAACATCCTGGACTCCAGTGTCAGATTTGATCACCCTGACACTGAACTCCAGAGGAGTTGCCTTTGCTATGGGCCCAATAGCTTAAAGGTACTCCATAACACCATCTCCCTCTACATTTGCCTTTGAGTTGTTGTCTATAACATATGATATTTAATACTTGGTACTAAATATTCATTATTGATTATTAGTGATTCATGTTGAATTGTGAAATGTATATAATATTGTATATATTGATTTTTGTAAATATTTGTACTCATAATCATATTCAAGGAGGAGAAGGATTTGGTGTGGAGGAAAAGGGGTTCAGACAAAAGCCTAATAGATACATACACTGACTAGACAGTAAATACACTACACTACTGTGCCTCAAAAGCCACAGGGTGAGATGTAATAAATGTGACATTATTATTGGTTTACTCTGCCTTTTTAAGCCTGCAACATAGGCACAGAGTGCCTTCTGCTGGTCAAATGTGGAACTCTCAAAATATTTTTGGGGAAAAATCTGGAAGCCGGAACTTAAAATTGTTTATGTTTAAACATAACTTTGGTTGGGTCACACCCAGATGACTATATAGAGCGCCAGCCGAGCGCGAAATTCCTCTTTCTCTTCCTGTTCTTCACTGGACCACGCCTGAGATTGTTCCGCTGCCCAACCACACAAATCGATAAGAAGGCAAAACAAAGGGGGGAGAAAACTGTTTGCTGCCTCCCATGCCCAAAGGGGGTGCAGGGGCTCACTCTGCCTGCTACAGCCCTCTCCAGGGCCGCTGGCTCCCATTAGACGGAGCTGGGCCCGAAATTGCCACACACCCCCCTGCGCGACTCCCGCTATCTTGACCGGATGCTGCGGCTGCCCGCTTGCCAGAGCTAGCACTGCTTTCACTGGATGCTACTGCTGCCAGAGAGCCACTGTGCCGGCGTTTGTTCTCGCCACCTGCACATCTCGGATAAAGTACCCACCGCTGCGGCTCCCGGCCACCATCTTGACACTTCCTCCGAGTACTTCTAGGTGCTTCATTCCCCAGAAGGCTTTTGGCCAGAACTTCTGGTACCATCATTTTGTCGTCGCAGCCGTCTGCGTCATCGCTTCGCGACTACGCGACTGCCACCGGACTACATTTCCCAGAGAACCTCTGACCGGAACTTCCAGTGCTGCTATTTTGTCATCACGGACTACATTTCCCATCATCCACTGAAACTTCCTGCCGCTGCCATTTTGTCGCTTCACGGATTGGTAACCCAAAAGCTGAGATTATGCCTCCATCTTTTTTTTTCCCCCACCCCCGCCCCCCCCCCCCCGGGGGGGGGTGGGGGGGGGTTTAAAGACTGTAACCCTTTCCTTCCCAGACTCCTAACCTTCCAATTAGGCTTAGTTCCTCATTTTCCTCCACTAATCCTTCTCCTCTGAGTTTCTTAATACATACATATTCGGACTGCTTTCCTTGAACCTTTAATCCTCAATTGGTGTAAACCCTAAATAAAACAAACAACTCGTACATTGACTATTGGCCTTGGTAACAATTTATGAGCATGGCGAGGGGGTATTTTCGATCTACCCTCTAAGATATGGTCCAGCAGTGGTCGTTCCTCTGTGCAAGGCAAACACTATGTGAATGTCTCATTCTTAGCTATAACCCTCTCCACTTCAGGAGGGGAGGACATTGTGGAAGTATCCCGATAGCCGGTAATCCTTGATACCGGTCCGCAACATTGGTAAAGACTCATATTTTACAAGACAAGTTGTACAAAGATTCAGACCTTTTCCTCAGTTTTCCAGTGACAAAAGTCTCACCGTCAGAATTCATGGGTACACTGGCATCTCTGATAGTTGCTTGCCACATGCTAATTCTCTTTTCATATGAAGATACCAAAAAAAAAGAAAGTTATTTAGATCATGTAGTCAAATATGACATCATAACATACCTAAGATGATAAAGATCTTGGTAAAGCAGAAAGCTCCTCTTCAATTTTCATTCATGTCATATCCCATTATTCACTGAGGACTGGAAAACTTACACAAATCTTACAGAGAAAAGGCTCCAAAAAAGCAGAAATGTTTGCTGCCAGCTGGTAAGGATGAACTCCATGCTCGGTGGAGTGAGCTGCACAGTTCAGAATACGCAAAATGCTTTAGAAAAGCCAAAGAACAGCAATAATTGTTCTTGTATATATTTGCAGCATGTCTCAATTCTCATGGTCACCCAAATAATTCACTGTGTGACACCATGCTCACACACATTCTTGCAACCCACCAAGGCAATATTTCAAGGGTTATGGTTCATTGTATAGACCACACATCTTCAATCACAGGCAGCATTTTGAAACAAAGAAATTTAACCCAATAGCCTGAGTGACTATTAAGTGGTTTTCTTTATTGGGGCACCAGGGTCGTACTGGGGGTTCTCCACCATAGGTGCTCCATCAACCCAGTAGCTTTCAACGGTTTATATTTACAAAGGTTTTACATATTCATAGTCTCTCCCCAAAATCATTAACATAAACACACCTTCCCAGGAAATAATTATTTATTTGTCTTTGCTGCTTCTGCCTCCTTATCTTTACTGCTGGGACATCTTTGTCTTTGTTGCTGGGTACTTCTCCAAACACTTATAAGGGTACATTTCATCACAGTACAGACAAAAGCAAGTTTTAAGGTAATTCTTCTACACCCTACACAAGCCCACTATGTGAGTAACTGCATGTTCCCAGTTACCATGGTTATTTACTGGCCTCATATCAATTTGGTCCCTCTGATGTACCAAGTCTTCTTCCATGAGCAAGGGAGCTGTTGCAATTGTGAACACTACCATTCCTCAGCAGATTTTTGAGGAAAAAAAAAATTTGTTTCCTGGGCTTGGTGGTCATATTGCTTATCATCATAATGCACCAAAGTTGCAAGTTGAGCATTTAAGATCTATGAACTATCCATAGAAAATTCAACTTCAGTAAAAGACATCATAAAGGGGGCAGAATCAACTCTCAAAAAACTAATTTTAATTTAAAAAAAAATTGTTGATCATTAACAAGTTTATAAAACAGTGATTTAGTTACATAAATAAATTGATATCAGTGTATCAAATCTAACTTTCAGCTTCATGAGCATGATTACATGGGTGATGAAGTACAACCTTTTTACCTATTATAATAAATAAAATGAAGAGCATGAAATACTTTTTCTAAACAAAACTACTTACAAACATACTTCTAGCATGTTCTCTAATTAAGGGAACAAGAGACACTGGACAACTTTTGCACCAAAACATTAGAACTGTTTTAAAAAGCACAAGGATACAGAACTATCAGCTAAAGTAAAAACTATACTGTAATCAAAGTTGGTATTTAATAACATAACGAACAGTTTGGTAGTTAGATCTCCAGTTTGGTTATTTTAAAGCATTAAGACAAGGCAAGATAGGAGGCTGCTTTTGTCTGAGTAATTCTAGAGAAAATAAAATATAGTAAAAAAAAAAAACACAAACGGAAATGTAGAACAATCATACCTACACAACTTTCCGTCCTGCACAAAGTCAAAATACCTATGCAGAATATATATAATATATATTTGTGCACAAAGATTAGCTTATTATTAGCTCACTGCAAAGGTGTAATATATCATGTCAATAATTTTGCGTTTTGTGTCAAAAAGGATATTTCTTTAAGTTTCCTAGGCTAGGAGGCACAAACCCCAATTCTGGCATATTGTGTTCTTAATGCTAAGGCTTGCTGCTCTGGCTGTCTATTTTTTGTTGTCCCTCTTTACTATAGTGCCTGTTACAAGCATGTGTGTATACATATATATGCATACACGGGTTGTATAAATATATATATAAAATTTCCCCAATAGGTATCAGTCCAACTATGCAATCCAAAAGGTGGCTCTGCATAGATGCCCAGCATATAGTTCACCACTTGAGCCAACCCTGGAGCAAGGAGCACTTTAGTCCTTCAGATACATTTTCTTTTTTGTTTAAAATCAAGTTACTGCAGCTTCAAGTATTTTGCATTACATAGATTTTTTAAAATAAATTAATATTTTTCAGTATGCAGATATATACTATAATATATATACAGTACAATAAATGCTCTCATTCTTTTTCAACTTTTTTTTTTTGATAAATCCCTGAGAATGTATGTTGACAGTCGCTAAGTTTCCACATGCACAAGCATTGTGTGCCATGCTTCTGGATGAACAGCACTGCAAAGCCACGTGGTCAGCCTTTTAACTATTAGTAATTCATTTGTTGGTTTGTTTAAATATGCTGAAATGTAAGGATGAGATACAAAGGAGTAAAGCTGAATCCATTCGAGGTACTTATCACAGGATGAAGGTGTTTGGTTTTTAAAGCCATTGCAATATGTGTTTGTTTTTGAGGCTGTGAACACATAAAGAAAAGACAGGAGAGCAATGTGGGCTTTTGCTACTTGACAACATATACTCAGTGTAAACCAACCCTTTTTTAACCTCTCTCACACAAAACAGAAAAAAGAAAAAAAATTAAACATACAAACTTTCACAACATGACAGGTGAGTTTGCAAACTCAATATAACTATACACATATAATACCAGTGTGGCTGTTTCTTGAAGTTCAAAAGGATACAAAGGCAGGCTCGAGTAAAAACAAACCACCCCACCCCCTTCACGCATTTTCATCAACCAAACCGCTCACGAACCAACATCATCAGTTTCTTTTTGCCTTTGTAGATTTGTTTTAGGTTGCCAATAAACTGTGTAAACTGAATGTGTCCATCATGAGCCATTAAGAAGGTCTCTCGGGCCCTGCTGAGGAACTCGATGAACTCACTATAGTGTCGTGGGCTGATGTGAGTGAGACGCGAATGAGTTGTATTAATGTAGGCTCCGATCGTAGCATCCAAGAGTTGTCTTAAAGGGGCTTTGTCCAGTGACATGAGCTTACCAGAGTTCCTCCTCCCATGAAGTCCCACCATGCCAGAAGTGTTCAAGGTACACCTACGCAAAATATCTGACAGTACTGTTGCACATTTGACACTTTTGACCACCAGAGGTATTATAGCTGCTAGCTCATTTTTCCCAAGGGAGTGGCTGAGCGCACATGCCCACAGAACGTCATTAATGGCAGGGTGTGTGTCCTGATTGTAGCTCAGGTTGAGATGTGTCATGGCCAAGGTGGCCAGCTTGTAGGCCCGCATGGGGTAACCGCGGTGCTCCATGTATCGTGCTATAGTAAAAAGCTGTGAATAGCTCATGCCGGTTGTAGCAGCATCTAGAACAATTTGGTAAGCGGTCTCAAAAGCTATGTGATCTTTTTCACATAAAGTCAGTGCAGAGAGGGCACAATTTTGAGGATCCTTCATGGCACACTGTAGAGCAAGTGTCCTAGCACTGCCAGCCAACTTCTCCTGCTGATGGCAGTCCAGATGCAGATGGACAATGGTGCTGTTTGACATCACTGTTGTAGCAACAATACTAGTGGCTTCTGTTGGAGTGAAAAGTGTAAACCAGTTTTGCATGATGCTATCCAGTGCACAAACACCTGGGGAGACAAAGTATTAGCCACAACTGAGAAAACCTAGCAGATACAAATATTCAGCAAAAGATTACATTTTCAAAGTCTAAGAGGTTGCCAGTACATCCAAGGAGACATGCTTCAGCAAGAAGGGCTAAACCAGATAACATGGTTGGAAAAGGACATTAAAACAAAGGCTACTGTGAAAACTCTGTAGCAATCACCAAGATAATAACAAAAAAGTCTGCAAGATAAGCTTTAATCTCCTGATGTGACAACTGAGCTGTTTTACTTATCTAAGACAATTTGGGTAACAAGTTCTGGTGTGGAGGATTTTATGGTTGAGAATGGACATTGTCTTGAGTTAGCCTAACTAGGCCTGAGAGTGACTTTGAACAACCTTGAACACTGACAAACAGAGAAACAAGGCAGTGAAGCAAGAGATAGGAAGGAGAAGGAATGCAGAGAGCTAAGATAAGAAGAAAACAAGAGGAAAACAACAAGGCATGTGGTGGCATCTGAAGAACAAATCACAAGAGCTTAAGCGCATGGACAATTGCTTGTAGCAAATTAGCTTGGGGAACGTGGTGTGTGGACAACTTTGTATACTATATAAGCAGCTTTCTGATAGCAATAAAGGTCTTCGATTATAACTCTAATAGAGTTGCTGAAGTCCATTTACAGCTCATCTCGTCATTCTGGCTCATTTGGTCTCATCACATCACTCAGCACCCTTCACACTGAACACTTAAAAAAAGGCAATTTTAACTTATTTTCTCAATGTGCATCTCAAGGTACAGTGCATGCACAAAGGAATATGAAAGCATGCTAAATGTCTTGTTTAACAGAACACCATGGCATTTAATTCTAAGCACACCTTAAAAAACAGAAATTCTAACCCCCCATCCCCTCCCAACAGGCTTTTCAGATACATCTTATATCAAATTCATATGCACCTGAACATCAAGATCCTTATTAGGGAAATACTCTGAGCAATAGCAATACTAGATATTATCTGAAAAAGATATTTTCTTTAGTATCATTTATTTCCTGGCATGTGTGTGTTGTGGTGGGGAAGAAGGGAGAAACGGTGACTAATGAGTTCTATAACTTGAATCTTATAGCCAACTAGAGTGTCTTATTATTGCTAGAGGCAGTTTACACACATCTGTGAGCCCACCTAAACCACAGCCAGGGGTCTTTTTCTCTGTAGGACTCTGATGTCTCCTGTGCATCCCTTTACTCACCTGAGAAAGTTCATCATAGTCAGAAAATAACAGATCTTCATTTAAATAAACAGATTCCTTGTTTTATCAACTTAAGTCTCAAGAGTACTTTGTGTGACATTAAATGTTCTTTATGAGATGCTTCTATTAGAATATGTAAACTAATTAAAAGCAGTATTAAAACCAGCATTTTATTTGCCAATATGTAACTACACAAAATAATACCCAGGCACTATCTGCAAGATAGCCTCAGTAATAATTACCTTAGCAAAGATATAAAAGCGATAAAACAAGAGCATTGCATGAAAATTTGCAGAGACAAACTTTTCTGGCTGAGGGTATACAAAGGCAACCTATATTTTCCCATGCTACTGACAACATTAATTTCCCAGTTAAGCATAAAGCAAAGAATAAACTAATCCACAGAATAAGCAGCAGCAATCCTTTGAAGTTCTTTCTGAAACTCAAGAAGCATCTATGCTATACAATATAATTCAGATGTATGAAAAAGGAGTAAATACATTAGGGAACCATACTTTTCAAAAGTACCTTTAGCGACAATTAAAATTGCTCCCTTATCAGAGTACTCTCTTGTTTGTTTTGGTTTGGGTTTCTTTTTTGTTTTTCTTTTTTTTTTAAACAGCTACACAGTTTTTAATACCCTCATCTTCACTTTCAGATTCTGTATCCTCATCTTGCAGATGGTAAACTGGAATACAGAATCTAAGGGACACCTCATAAAGACAGACAAATTTATGGCAAAGCGCAGAAATTAATATGATGTCCTGCTGAGTGCACTATTCTCCCACTGCTATCCTCTAAGTATGAGGGTAGTTCTGCTCCCACCTTATTTTCACCTTTCATGGTTAAGGATGGGTGCATTACTGTTATTACAAAGTAATAGTACGAATACAAGTAGGCTCCAAAACTACCTGGCTGCCAAAAGATTGGCAGAATGTATTGAGATTGGTTGTTGTGGTTTGAGGCTTGGAATGGGGTCGTGACCTTCCAGCAACTGGGAGGACCCCGGGTGGGTGTGAAACCATTGTATTGTAAAACATGTAAAACGAGAAATAGTCCATGCTATG